CCAACCCTGTGCCGGGCCTCCGTGGAGGTCTGGGCCTGCGGTCAAAGGCAAACAGTTGGATCGCACCTCTTCCCAGAAACACAATCTTTAGGGCTGGGCGTTCAGAATAGTTGACAGCGAGAAATGAGAAAGGGCGAGCCATATCGCTTTCAGATCCTGGAGTCCAGGAACCTGCGCCAATGGTAGCGCTTGCTTCCAGGTTGCTGAAGTAAACAAGTGTATCAACTAGAACCAGTTTTGAGGGCATCTCGCAAGCCCAAACGGAATACCCAAAACGTTGGATGCCGTCCAGCTGCCATGTCCCTCTGGGAATACACTTGGATGGACGGATGGTGGCCGCAGACCCAGACATCATGGCCGAGTGGAAGCAGGGCATAGATGCCTGCAGGAAACGCATTCTGTGTACGCGTAGAATAGAAGTTTTCGCTGCGGTGTCCAGAACCAAAGAACAGCGCACAAATTTCAACAGTGCTGGTCGAGACAAGTTCGAAGTCCCACAACTGCGCCAAGACGGGATCGTGGGGCATGTGCAAGATGGTTTCAGACTGGTGACCCTAGTTAAGTTGTCGGCGACATACCTCCTTGTTTTACATGCTGCATAGCATCCCTAAGGTGTGCATCCAGCTGCCTTTCTCACTTCCGGGCGGCGCCACTTGACGGAGACACACCCGCTGATCACCAGTCATATTCCATTCCTGGAGTCGCCCCAATTCAAAAAAATCATGGGGACCTACGCTCATTATCATTGTATGTGACATGGACGACTGCCTGTATGCATGCATGCATGAACAAGTACCACCAAGCTACATACTTGCATGCGTTTAGGTACACGCCCAAAGCAGAGTTTACTAGCTAAGTGAAGCGCAGTATTTCGTGTGCATGCACGCTTTGATACTTCGATGTGTGTACTGATTTCTGCATGTCGTCTCTTTTGCATTTTTTGTGCATGCCTTGCAATGTGTGCATGTGGCATACAGCTTAACAAACACAACAAGTCAGCGCACGAATATCCACTCCAAGCCTTGATCAGCCCGTCTGCGCCAGCAGACCACACGAAGCACTTCACCACCGCCAGCCTGGTAGTACTTACCACTGCCACAGGGACTGCCACACAAAGAAACCACGCCGTAAAGCCAAGTGTTCCGAAAATATCCCATGACGGCTTCTGTAGTTTGTAAGCTACATGAGCCAAGCCCTTTCAATCATTGATACTGGGGCTTTCGGTTTGGGTGGGACTTCGAGGGCACGTAGTAATTCAAGTCAAACCACGGCATGTAAGATTGACGAAGGCTTGGGGAATAGCATGTCTTTCCGAGGCGCTTGTTCACGGAGCCAGCATGTGCATCCTGCACAGGCAGGCGCAGCCCGGCCAAATTCCTAGATTCGTGTTAAAAACCTTTCAAGGCTCAAGGAAGCACTTCGTTCCGACATCAGAGACCTGAGGCTCTCTTAGAGTCTGCAGCCTGACCTGTGGCTGAAACCATGGGAACTGATGGCATCCTCGCCCTCGGAGCCCCCCATCAGTTCGTGCGTATTGCACAAAGCAAACGGGGCCTCGACCACTTCGATGCATTCGCCGTCAATGCATCTCCAAAGCCTCTTGCAAAAATAGAAGGCTGAGTAGCATTAGCAGTGGCAGCAGCAGGTGGCAGTGGCAGTGGCAGTGGCAGTGGCAGTGGCAGTGGCAGTGGCAGTGGCAGTGGCAGTGGCAGTGGCAGTGGCAGCAGCAGTGGCAGTGGCAGTGGCAGCAGCAGGTGGCAGTGGCAGTGGCAGTGGCAGTGGCAGTGGCAGTGGCAGTGGCAGTGGCAGTGGCAGTGGCAGTGGCAGCAGCAGTGGCAGTGGCAGTGGCAGCAGCAGGTGGCAGTGGCAGTGGCAGTGGCAGTGGCAGTGGCAGTGGCAGTGGCAGTGGCAGCAGCAGTGGCAGTGGCAGTGGCAGCAGCAGTGGCAGTGGCAGTGGCAGTGGCAGTGGCAGCAGCAGGTGGCAGTGGCAGCAGCAGGTGGCAGTGGCAGCAGCAGGTGGCAGTGGCAGTGGCAGTGGCAGTGGCAGTGGCCGTGGCGGTGGCGGTGGCGGTGGCAGTGGCAGTGGCAGTGGCAGTGGCAGTGGCAGCAGCAGGTGGCAGTGGCAGCAGCAGGTGGCAGTGGCAGCAGCAGGTGGCAGTGGCAGTGGCAGTGGCAGTGGCAGTGGCAGTGGCAGTGGCAGTGGCAGTGGCCGTGGCGGTGGCGGTGGCGGTGGCGGTGGCGGTGGCGGCGGGGGCAGTGGCAGTGGCAGTGGCAGTGGCAGTGGCAGTGGCAGTGGCAGTGGCAGTGGCAGTGGCAGTGGCAGTGGCAGCAGCAGGTGGCGGTGGCGGTGGCGGTGGCGGTGGCAGTGGCAGTGGCAGTGGCAGTGGCAGTGGCCGTGGCCGTGGCGGTGGCGGTGGCGGTGGCGGTGGCGGTGGCGGTGGCAGTGGCAGTGGCAGTGGCAGTGGCAGGTTAAACCCTAGACTCTCCACCGCAGAATATCTGCACAACAAAGAAGCCGTCCAACCAATACAAGGGGGCCACAGACCAAACTTCAGGAACATGATCCTGCAGGCCTGGAAGCATGTTGAAGACCTCAAATCCGGAACCAAAGCGCTCAAGCACACATCGCACGTCGATTCAGACGATAAACCTGAAAAAGCAAACAGGTCTACTGGAGCTGGGCCCTACAACCACCCGAACATGACGATGTACCCGCAGAAACCTCAACAAAGGCCACAGATTCATCTGTCAAAGTAAAGTTTCAAAACCCAGCAACTAAAAGGACAAGGTTGAAGGCGTGGTCCTGAAGTCGAGACAACCTACAATCAACCCGGATACACTCTGGAAGCTGCTACATATGCGACGGCCTGATCGAGGCATCGTCGCTGCCAGACCAGAGTATGGGCCCAAGCTTGAGCCTTGGCTGACATTGTCGCTGCCTCTCTCTGGTGCGGCTGGGCAGTCGGTCCAACAATCGATGCACGTGCGGTTGCAATGCACGGCGGCTTCCGGGCTTGAAGGCCCGATCAGCTTGCTAGGTGACAAGATCAGCCGATGCAGAAGAACATCACGAGCAGTCAAGGTGGTTGATTAAGCCGGCTCAGCATAACCACTGCCCCGCATATCACAATGACTCGCATCAGCTGCACTGAGATTCACTGTATTGAACGCTGTCATCGAGAGGGATCTTGATGTGGGAAGATGCCAGGCAGGCTACCGCGACGTCACTATCCACGTGATTGCCTTCAAGCTTGAGATGACGATTGTATGGAACCAAAACTACACCACGTGAGCATGTTCAAGACCCGTTGCTGAGCTTCACAAAAGCAAATATGGTGACCGGGACAGGGGCTTTCATCCTGAATCCTTAGTCGTAGCAGGCGGGTTGCAGAGTCTTCAGCCCGTTCTTGTGCCCGTGCATGTGCTTGCCTGAAGGCCGGCATTCGCGGTTATCGCACAGTAAGAAAACACCCATGAAGGCTAGGATGGATAACAGTTTCTGCCAGACAACTGACCACTTGGGCCGTGGACAGTGTCAGGCCAGTCTAGTAGCTGCAGCAATTCACGAACGCTGGCGACATTTTGGTCCGACACCAGATGTTGCTCCTAACTTGCATCACGGCCGGGATCTCAAGAGATGCTCAGCCGGAGTTGCAAAATTCATCGGGGCCGAGGTGGGGACGACACCGGAAATCCCCAAACAAAGCAGTGTGCGGTCAGCTGGATTTACAGCCTACATTGTTACTAGCTGGCTGCCAAGTTCACCCACCATTGGAAACAAAGCACCGGATCCTTGAATCCCGAAAACCACAACCCCTCAGCAACGGCGCTCAACCTCCAAGCCCTAGACATTAGAGCAATTGAGGCTACAACTAGAAGTGCCCATCTTATCCCATCTCGAACAGCCTTAACCCTGAAAGACCGCTGGGCTTCCGAGCCCGCACTGCAGATCCCTGAAAAACCTACACGCTCGAAATTCGCCTCCGAGACGCCTAAAACCCAAACTTCCGGAATCCGAAGCCCGTCTCGTTGACCCCGATCTTTGGCCTTTGAGCATCCCTACCTTCCATCGGCCAATCTCCTGGGATCTCAAACTGGCTTCAGAGCTTCGGGTCGGGTTACACCATACGCATCAGTGCAGACGAAAGAGTACTCCTACTTCACTGTGCGAGATTCCGCAAGATATGCGGAGCAGAGAGGCCAAAAAACCACCTAACTTGGCACTGCATACCACGTTCCACTGCATAGCAGGAACTCACATTCCTCGGTGTCTGTAGCTGCCCGGCACAACGGAAGATCATCTCCGAGACCAAGTCTCCACCACCACAGCCTCCTTGTCCTCTTTCACCTCGGCCAAAGCGCCGGAAGTGGGTGTTGTTTCGTACAGGTGGAATATCGATTGAGACGCTTAATCGGTTTTGTTTAGCTGCGTGTCTCAGGGTTGCCCCATTCGGACATGGGCCGCGATGGTTGCAGAAAGCTGGCGAAACAAGCAGGTCAATACCTTGAACAGGATGGGTTCAAGCGCGGTGGAGGTGGCACAGTCGATGCTCTCGCTTTTCTCCCTGAACAACTGGGCTCTGAATCAAATCCACTGCTCCGAAAAGTTGCTAGATGCCAAAGATGTCACACTTCACCACGCGCCGGCTCCAGTCCCTGTAGTGCTGGCTATCCCACGAAGCCTAAATCGCTTCGAGTCTCCTGCAGTCCGCAGAATTCAGGTCCAAGCAAGAAATCGGAATTCAGAATTCAAGTGAAGGCCTCATCCCAGCGCGCACGGAGAACCGTTCAACCCAAGCTGAGTGAAATCGTGTTCCCGAACTCTCACAAGGGCATGCCACGCCGGATGCGCTAAACTGCCCCTGAATCCTAGTGAGCCCTTCTCGACAAAGCTTGAAAATGACGAGGCGCTGCAGCTGGGACGGCCTTCTTTGAGCGCCATGTGTGGATGATCCACTCACCTTGGTAGATCTCAATGAGCAAAGTCTTTTCCCCAGGCATATGATTCCAGGACTCGTCTGAAGGTAAATAACCTGGGGGAGTCTAGTGCGGAGCCGGATTGCTCACTGACAGTTCGTGAGGTGGAGATCGCGGGAACAGACGTGGACTCTCCAAACGAAGGAGTGTCTCGGAAAATTCATTCGCCACTCATGTTTCAACAAGACAGTACACACAGCAGTAAGTGACAGCAAAAATCCAGACCCATGCAGGAGTGGGGTTTTCGTGAGTATAGCCGCAGCATCATGCAGAGCAGTACCAGCTGTCTGGCTCTGAGGGTCTTCCTAAATATATGTACACTGCAACTTCGTTGAAGTGGGCCGACAAGGGGCGAAGGGTGAAATCATTGCTGCCACTCCAAGCCTTCCTCAAGGGAAATTCCTTCGCAAAGATCACAGCGTCCAGATTCGTGCGCAGGAAAGTGGGAGCAACATGCTTCCGGGCACATTGCGAGTTGCCATCCTTACTCTAGAGTTCAATTCAGTCGACATGGGTGTGATGGCCTTGACCACATCAACGAAACTTCCTGCAACAGTATGGGGAGAACCTTGCTTCTACAGTCTACGGCCACCGTGGCCACGGCCGAATGCCATGCGTCCTCTGCATCGACGTCGCCAAGAGAGTCGTCACAAGTGAGGCAAGTCACTCCTGACGGAATCCAACTCTCGAGGTACAACTTGTATCATGA